CAGCCCAATGGGGGGGGGGGCTGCCCGAGGCAACCAACCATCACGTGTCTCTCTCTGTGTCTCCCTCCCCCTCCCTCCCTTCTACTCTCTAAAAATCAATGGAAAAAATATCCTCCGCGAGGGTTAACAAAAAATAAAAATAAAATAAATAAAAAGCCTCGAGTGGAGCACCTATGACCTGACTTACTTCCCGAAATGGCTCCATGCAAGGGGCCTCCGTCTGCGCTCGGCCCAGCCCGGGGCTCAGTACCTGCGTCGCCTCCGGCGCTGGCGTCCTGAGCACCAGGCCCGCACTGCGCGCTGGGCGACTGGCGCGTAACCGAGACGGCACCGGCCGAGGGCTCAGGAGGTTCGGGATCCATGGAGGTGGGCCCCGCACACGGGTTTAGGGGCGTGTGTGTGGGCCAGGGGAGCTCAGGGAAGGGCTTGGGGGCCGCCGGCGTAGCGTCGGCGCGGTGTCTNGCGGCTGTGTCGCAGGCGTAGCGTCGGCGCGGTGTCTGAGCGAAGCCGCCCCAGGCCTCAATGCCGCAGTCCCACGGGCAGGGGGCAGTAGAGACCCCGCCGCAGAGCGAGGCGCGTCTGCGCACTGCCCGGAGGCGCATGCGCGCCTTTTGGCGCCTTTGGGGGCGCGCACTCACATCCTCTTTGTCTGGAAATCTCTACCCACAACTCCCCGGGCTCGCACGCGCTCTCCTCAAGCGCCTGCGCAGGCCACAGTCCCGCCCTCAAATCCCGTGGGCCTCTGCGAGGTGGTATTTAAGTGCTTCGCTGGGCGCTCTAGGTCTCGTTTTTCTGCTCCTCTGGGTGAGTGTGCTTTGCGTTTCAAAACGTAGTGGCCCCGTGAGCGTGGCGCGCCTTAGGCTGTCGTCTGTGTTGCATCCGTTTGGTTGGGGTGGGGAGAGGGGCGACTTTAGCCATGGCCTCCCGGCCCCGAAGCTGGTGCAGGGCTTTGTGAAGGACAAAATGGCGATGGCGAGCCGTGCCGGCGGCCGTCTGTGATGAGAAGCTTTTCACAGACCTGTGCTGAATTCCGTGAGGATAAGAAACTCTGAGACTGGCCTTGCACAGCCGATGCAGTCGTCGTTCCGGAAAACAAAGCGTTAGCGAAATGCTTAGCGCTGACCTAACGTCCTCTTTGTCTGCAGGGTCTGCGCGCGTTCGGACGCTGAAGCACCGCAACATCCCTCGTTCGAGTGAGTGCCTGAGGCCCTTACGGCCGTTCCTCCACTGTGTGTGGAAGTCCCGTGGGATGTGCTACGGGGATGATAAAAATTGAACTCTCTCTCTCTGATGGATTAGTGGAGAACCGTAAATTCTGAGTAGCACCATCCGCAGCAAATGTTTGGGATTTTTTTTCATGTTTGAGGGGGTTTTTTAGCTCTGAAATATTAAGGCACTAACATGAGACAGGCTGCAAGGTATAAAACTAAGTGAAGGATCTCCTTTTTTTTTTTTTCAGGTATGGTTCCGTTCAAAAGAGCTTACAGGTTGGAGGATGGGACAAGGCCTGTCCCTGTGCAAATGAATCATTGCAGTGATGCCCCGGTGGGTGTACAATTCTTATGCAGTTAGGGGTAGGGGCGCAGTGTCTCGATGGGCATCCAGTTGGGCTGGCCACTCCGTGATGAACATAAAATGACAAGCATATGACTGAACTTAAAAGTGATGTCATCTTACTGCTGAGAAGTGGGCTAAGAGTATTCAAGGGTCTTGAATGGCTATTATTGGGTATATGTAATGCCTCCTTTTTCTGTCCCCAGCATCTCACTACCAATCCTGAGGAAGTCAACTGCCTCCCAGGGTGACTACAGGTAATTGTTTAAATGGGGGATTGAGATGTCATCTCTCCAGTGTTCCCCACAACCAGGAGAGCAAATGGTAAATGCTCCTCCAGCTTGTTTCTCTTGGAATAATTTTCCTGGGAACGGAGAGAACAATCCAGTAGTAGAGTTGAGGGTGTGATTTTTTTCCTTTACTCATGTGCCACTGTCAGATGATTTGAATTGTTACACTGATGCTCTGTGAGGTGTGACAGGTAATAGCATGTTAGAGTTCTGATGGCAGTTTCTGTTAAATGCGGAAACCTTATTCCATTCTACTATTTCTAAGTAATCATTTGCTCCTCGTTTACAGGTTGTCCTGGTGACGATATATTCAGCTATCTTAATGGTAAGCAGCTTCTCCCAATACTGTCGTGAAGTAACGCGTGAATCCGTTATCCAACGGATAACTTAGCAATATGGGATTTTTTTGTTACCAGAGCTTTGATTGACCCATATAGCTTTCTGGTTTCTCTTGTTCCTTGTAGTGATGTTTCTTGGCCTCTTGCCTCTCCTAGATCCCCATTGATCTACCCGGGGTTGATCTCGTGGAAAGACTTGGAGGTGGTGAGTATTTGTAATTTTGTTGTAGCTTGCTCCAGAGTCCGGTGCCAGTGAGGAGAGCAAACATCCTGTCTTAACCCCTGTTCTAGCCCCAGAGCCAGTAATGGTGAACCCACTGGGGCTAACTGGGAGAGAGGATGAGAACTTGTTCCATAAGGAACTGTCTGAGGTGTAACAAATACTTAAAAGGAGCATTTGCTTAGTCTTTCTTGATCTATCCATTAGCTATGGTTAAAATAGCTTTGACTGTTTTAGATATTTTGCTAATTATTTGGTCTTATTTAGGAGCAGCTGAGTCCTGTATACTACTGAAAAGCCTCCAGAGTTGAAAGGTTAGTTTACGAATGTCAGGCCTATGCTACCAAGTAGTCAGTTTCTATGATGAAGCAAACTAGCTCACTATGACTTATGTAATGAAAACATTCGAACACCTGAGAAACTGGAGAAGACAGTAGTGGAGGGGATGCTAAGTTGAGGAATTTTTATCAACCACAGCTTTGTCTTTCCTTAGGTACTGTAACCAGTAACCTGCTGTTTACTCAGAGGTGAGTGGTTTCCATATGTTTTGGTGCGTACAACATGCTTGATAGGAAGGTGCCTTTTTAGGCCTATATGTATGTGATGACTTACTTGGAATCTCGTTCGGCTGATGACTTGCTGTTGAGACTCGGAAATCTGATATTCTAGGAAATGGCTGAGGCAGGAATAACTTTTAATGCAGAAAGTGTTTCTGATTTACTCGTTTGTTTCAGGTCCAGCACCTTCTGGAGTTCAAAGAATGACTTAAGGTAAATGCCTTTGCAACACTTTTAATGTAAGGCTACTATATAAAAATTGCTGCAATTTTGTGTGTAGCACTTTGGATCACTCACCAGTGATGAGTTTGATACCGCCCCAGTCTGATCACTGTGACTGAAAGGTATTTTCTGAGCTGTGAGCTTGCCTTGGAGCAAAAAGTGACAATGGAAAGTAAATAGTACAGCCAATATAGAAAGTTCTTTGGATTACCTAGTTCCTATAAAGTGTGTGTGTGTGTTGGAGCATACATAGCCTATACAGGTGTACCTTTCCTCCAGGCAATGGGGATTCATTCTTGGGGCTGGTTGAGAAACTTAGTTCCCAATCATTCTTTTGCAGGAGAAACGTAAGCTGTATTTCTGCTCAGCTTCAGTTTGCAGTTAGAGGTGAGTAATTCAGGTGCAAAGTGGAAGCCAAGCTATAATTTCCCAGTGAAGAAACATTCACATGTCTTACCTCCTGTCCTAGTCCCAGAGCCTGTAAAGGTGAACCCACTGGGGCTGGCTGGGGGAGAAGAGGAAAGTTTGTTCCAGAAGGAACTGTCTGAGGGATCATATGGACTTTTAAACATGGGAAAGAAAAGAATGAATCACTTGTTGAAAAATCATGTATTTTTTAATTTTTTTTCCAGGTCTAAAAAAAGAACAAAGCATGTATAATGGTAAGTATCTGCTCATGTAAAGTACGTAACTTAAACAAAACCTACTGGGGGGGGGGGGGTTTGGTTTAAAGGTTAGCCCCTTATAAGTTCATTGTGCATATTCTTTCCCATCCAGTAAGAAAACTCACTTTTTCTCTGCAGGAATCCAACTCTTTGAAGACATGAAAAAGGAATTTTCAAGCAATTTCTTGTACAGTCTAGCTGTTCAATTTTGCATATAATCATTTCAGTCTTTAAAAATAAAAGGGTTTTTTATCCTTTGCTGTGATTGCTGTGTTTGAGTGGGTCTGGTTTACCTAAATAGGGTGTGACTTCTATAGCATCTGGTAGGGATGGGGGTATTCAGATGATCATGGGTTGAATGATACTATTGGCCTTGAACCATCCATCTTGATCTCTATATACCATTACATCTGAGCATATGCAAATGGCTACTTGAGAGTTTAGTCTCAAATGGGTTGCCTGTCCATACACATGCCCAATGTTTTCAAGTCTTTTCTCTTTTTATTTGGCTTTGTGGATGAAGGGCAGTGACACACAGCATGGGTGGAGGTTGTAAGTGTATGGTTAGGTAAGCAATTCTGAGTCTTCAAAGCAGTTACATAGTTTTCTAAACCTGGAGGTTCAAATCTGCATGGTTAACATGCACACAGACCCCCACCGAGGCAATTTTTGATAGAAGTTGTCAGGTAATGACCTATTTCTCAATATTTGATGATAGATATGAAACTGAATTTGTGTATTCCCATCTGTTTTACATTTGCATATGTGAATTTTAGGATAAGGTCTTGCCTCTATACTGGAGTATTGGTTCCAGGATCTCCATGGGTACCAAAATCAAGGATGCCCAAGACCCTTGTAAAATGGTGTATTTCCATATAGCATGCATAACTGCTTCAAATCATTTCTAGATTACTTAATACCTAATATAGATACTGTGTGTAAATAGTTATACTGTATTGTTCAGGGAATGACAAAAAGGTCAGTACAGAGGCAACTACTGTAACCCTAACTACATGGTACATGTCAGCAACAGTGAAGCTTTTAAAAAATCCCATGTGGGTTCAACTGAAGCGGCCCCCTGTTCCACTCAGAAGCACAGAACCAATAGAAGGGAGCCTGAGCTGCTGGAACTCCCTATGAATTCATGGCATGAGTGTAAAAAAGTTAAAGCCCTCTGTACTGTTAGTTTCCACCTACAGTTCATTTAGTACATGTATGTGGAACCAGCACATATGAAGGGCCAACTATGCATTTTGTGTCAGAACTACAGTATAAGACAACAGAAAATGCTTTTCTGTAAGGGGTAGCCGTACAGATTTGAGAGCAGTCAACAGAAATGCAGTCACAAGAATGGAAGGGTTGGTTCTGAAAGGATCAAACAGACCCACACCAGCACCTGGGCAGGTGGCGGTGCACCAGCATTTAAAGGGAGGAAGGGCAGAGGAGAATCCCAGAAAGAGGCAGTGCAGCAGTGGGAGGCCCCCCGAGTGCTGATCTGGAAACCAGGCGGGAACCCACACGCACACCTGGTGAAGGGTGTGTCAAAGCTGCAAAAACATAAAAGAGCTGCAAGCAGGAGTGTTGAGTGTTAGCTACAGACTAGCCACTAAGTGCATTACCTCGTCAACCGTGGGAGGCATGTGCCAGAAGGGGAAATAGAGGCAAGGAAAAGGTGAGCAAATTCCCCATTGTCACAGAACAGGGTCAGTGTTCTGTGGGGAGATGGTCAGTGGTCAAAGCCCCAGGGGCATAACCATTAGGCCAGGCTATTAGCTGTAGGAGTCTGGAGGCTACTGTTCCTCTAACCCAGACCTGGAAATGCAGCAAGGAGGTGATGGAACCAAAGGTAGATAGGCTGACATGGGGGTCAGGCAGGATCCACTAGAAGTGTTGGGTAGGTAATGACACCTTCCTCAAACACTGTTTTCACCATGTGACAAATGAATTCAAATTAAAGCCCAAGTTAATGGCTACTTAGGCTAAGAAATGAAAAACAAAAAAACAAAAAATGAGACTGGGATAATATAGAGCAATAGGGGAAAGCGCCAGAGCAATTGAGACCTGGCTCCTCAAATTCCTTCTGTACATTAGTGAATCAGGACTACAGCGTCTCTACCCTGGACCTCTTCCCTGAGCTCCAGATGCACCCAATCACCCTTTGACCTCCCCGCCAGATACCCATTCAGGTATTGAGGCCTTTGATTCCCTGTCCTGTCCATGTCTGCTCCTCCCCCAGTATCCCCACTTCAGTTAAGTGGTAGCAGCACTGGCAAGCTGCTCCATCCCAAACCGAGCAATGTACTCAACCCAAAGAGCCAAGGCCTTGCTCTTGCCTTTGGGTTACATTCTAGAAAAGGGGCAAAATAAGACAGCCAGCAAATAAGATTATTTGAAATAGCACAGTGGTTCTCAACCAGGGGTGAGTTTGCCCCCAGGAACATTTAGCAATGTCCAGACATTTTTGGTTGTCCCAACTTGGAGGGTATGGGTTATACTACTGGCATCTAGTGAGTAAAGACCAAAGAGGCTGCTAAACACCCTACAATGCACAGGAAAGACAGCTCATCTCTTCTACTCCGCAATGAATTATCCAGCCCAAAATATCAATAGTACTGAGTTTTAGACACCCTGAGATATATGATAAATGTGGACAAAGAAGAATCTGATGGAACAAGGGTGGTCAGGGAAGGCATCTCTGAAGAGGAGAAAGTGGGGAGATCTAGAGGGAGAAGGGTCCAGGCGGAGGAAACAGATCTGCTCCTGTACTTGATTCACCCTCTTTAGGTGTTTGGACACCTTCAGTCAGATTCTCTGTCTCTTTAGGGCCATGGTTGCAAACTTGTAGATTAGTGGATGAGTTTCAGGGGACTCCAAGAATCCCTCCAGAAATTGTACGCAAAATTGTGGAAGACAAATATGCATTTATCTGGGGAAAGCCTCCAACAGATTCTCAGAAGGGTTGGGGGACACAATAAAAAATCTAAAATCTCTTCAAGTTGACTAGGCATTTCTTTGACCGGTTTCATATTGTGTTGGTTTTTAAGTTTATAACATCTTCCTCCAAAATGCCCAAAATAGGAAGTAGAAAACTGTTCAATCAATTTATAAATATGGAGGAAAGTATCATTAAAAATAAAAACAGCTTAAAGAGTTAAAAGGGGGGTATAAATTGGGGAGGATTGCTATAAGCCTTGAATATTACTTATCAAGTTATATCAGTTTCATGAAAACAACAGATTACAGAAAGCACTGCGCTTTGCAACGTGCCTCTTCTGCTCTCATCTCTGCTACAAATTGACATCAAGGACAGTGTTGAGAACCTTGACCTTGTTCTCTAAAATCATGGATTATCAGGAACCTTGCTAGTTGAAATTATAATAGTGAGAATAGAACGACCTACTGTTGCCTGAAGGATCTCAGCCCTGCCTGTACCATCGGCACAGAGCCAAGGCCTCTACTTCCAGCCCAGCAGCAGCGCTTCAGCTAAGGTTTCCAACAGAACATTCCACATTTACATTAACATAGTTTCCAAGGAAACCGGACCTCAAGTCCCTCCTCAGACTGGGCGGGATATAGAATCCCTTTCACAAAGCCGCGCTTTGCTTTGAGCCTATAAAAGAAAAGCTCATTTAAATTTGACCTTTGCTGGCCCAAACCCCCCTCTCCCACCGCAGAGTCCTCCGTCGAGTCGGGAACCTCTGAAAAGTCTTTCTCAGGGCGTTTTCGCCTCTGAAGGGTCCATCGCAAGACGTAAGTAGGGTGGGGGTGGATGTGACAAGTCAAGGGGGAGGCGCAGAAAAGAGCCAGGATGCGAGGAGAACTCAGCCCTAAAGGCCTTCCCTGTGTCCTCACTTCTCAGCGCCACCCCCTGAGCGCGTTATGATTTCCCCATTTAAGAGGAGACAGGAGCCTACGCGGCGCGCCTCGTGTCATTAGGTCAGAAGCTGTCGAGCAGGGACCCCAAGTCTGCAATTTGGACTCCAAAGCCTGTGCCCCGGAATCGCGGCCTCTCCAAACGTGTTCGGCAGAAGGGACACCGCCACCCGCCGCACCTTCAACCCACAGACGGTGCTCACCGCCCAGCCGCCCCCAGGGGACGCCTAAAAGCCTTCGGGACCCGAGACTAAAGCCACCGTCTAGGGGAAGAGACCAAGCAGCCATTGAAATCACGACTTGTATATGGGCCAATCCCAAGATGGCTAAAAAGTGGAGGGGCGGGTATATGCAAAACACACCGAGCAGTGGGCACGTAAGGAAAGCAGTAGATAATTCTGTTTAAGGTCTTTTTCAATAGTCTGCTACTATTTGAAGTAAGAATAATAAAACTCACTTTAAAAAAGATTGCTTGTTGAGAAACAATCTAATCGTTAGGCCATAAAAGTCACCACAAATGTAAAAGGGACAGTAACGGTAAACCTGGCGGGGAGGCAGGTGCTACGGTATCGCTTCTCGGCCTTTTGGCTAAGATCAAGTGTAGTATCTGTTCTTATCAGTTTAATATCTGATACGTCCTCTATCCGAGGACAATATATTAAATGGATTTTTGGAAGTAGGAGATGGAATAGGAGCTTGCTCCGTCCACTCCGCGTATCGACCTGGTATTGCAGTACTTCCAGGAACGGTACACCCCCTCGGGGGCCCAAGGTTGGTTAAAAATAAGAATTGTCCGGCTTTTTTCTTTTTTTTTTCCGGGGATTTGCCTCAGAATAAACGTGGAGTAGATTCCTAAAGCATTATTAATACGTTCTTCTTATCTGCTATTGTAGTTAAAAAGATCGATATTCGGCTTTTGTTTTTTTTCCTATGTAAATCGCTTCAAGGCAGATTTCAGTTTTCTAGCACACCGAAGAGTGGTTGGTTGGTTCGGTTATGGTCTGGGCCCAACTCTCAGCCTTAAGAACCCAGACATACTGGCGTGTTCCCCAACCACACATACAAAAAGACGGAGTTTATTTAGGTATTAGGTTTAGTGCTCTCTGATAGGCTCAATATTAAGAGTACAACTGTGTGCAAAGACGTCAACACCAGGTCTGGACTGTGAAGTGTGCTCAAGGTGCCGTTTCCTTGATAATTAAAAAATAAGTGTAGCCCCGCCGGGCGTGGCTCAGCGGTAGAGCGTCGACCTAGGATCCAGGCGATCAGGGTTCGATTCCCGGTCAGGGCACATGCCGGGGTTGCGGGCTGCAGCCGATCAATGACTCTCCCATTGATGTTTCTATCTCTCTCTCTCCCTCTCCTTTCCTCTCTCTGACGGCAATAAAGATATATTTTAAAAAATTAGTAAGTGTGGAACATTATGCTCAGGATCCTTATTGGCAGCTCTGCAGCTGCGCTGATAATCAAGGCCGCTTTGGGGATGCTCTATTCTTACTGATATAATTTCAAAGAACAAAGTTTCTGATAGTCTATGATTTCCGAGAACAATGTTTTTCAGTAAGAAAACAAGCATTCAAAGAGAGCCGTTACATTTTACAGTTGCAGCTTATCCTTGAGAGGAATATTGTTTCTGTTATCCGCAGATTTTTACTCTGAGCTAGTTTTTACCATCACCAAACCTCAATGTGAGGAAATAAAAATGACGCCCTACCTCCACCTTTCCAAAACAGAGACCTGTTTTGAGATCGTCGGTTTCATTTTCCCCGTCTTTCTTCGTTTTGTGTCTTTTATAGTGGAGTTTGAAGCCATGGCCCACAGTAGTGGTTTGAATCGTGTCTGAAGTGGACTCTTGTACAGAAAAAAACATGCCAGGATGCTTTGGAGCAGGGAGACGGACTAGGGCTGGCTCGACCCGGCATCGCGGTCCAGTTAGGATGAGATCCACTCCAAGTGAAAACTGGTCAGCTTACTCTTCAGATCCCCACAGCTACCTCTACATTTTGTTTTTGTGCCGCTAAACCAAAGAGCAGGCCGGTGACTTATACTCTTCCGGCCTTTACGCTCCCAGAACCCGCGTTGGTCCGGGTCCCGCTGGGCGCGCTCCGGTGACGTAAAGGCTGCGCCGGAAGTGCGGCTGTCGGCTGCCAGGCTCCGGGATGGCCGCGGCAGGGGCTCGCTGGAACCATGTGTGGGTCGGCTCCGAGACTGGGATCCTGAAAGGTGCGTGGCAGGACGGGGCGTCGGGAAGCGGGGAGGTCGCCAGCTCGCAACCTCGGTGCGACTGATGCCCGCGTCCCGCAGGAGTGAACCTTCAGCGGAAACAGGCGGCGAACTTCACGGCGGCGGGACAGCCGCGGCGCGAGGAGGCGGTGAGCGCCCTGTGCTGGGGCGCGGGCGGTGAGACACAGGTGAGCGGTCGCCGGCCGGGCTGGAGCTGGGGGCCCGGTAGCCTCGCTCTCCTCGCCATCCTACCCTCCTCTGCCCGCAGATCCTGGTGGGCTGTGCCGACAGGACAGTGAGGTACTTCAGCACCGAGGAGGGCAGATTCCAGGGCCAGAGCCACTGCCCCGGCGGGGAGGGCGTGTTCCGAGGTCTCGCCCAGGTCGACGGGTAAGACTGAGCCCCTCGCTGAACGTTTAGGGAGAGCGTTGAGGCTCCCGCAGGACGGCTGAATAATGGCGATCGACCCATACGTGACTCGGGCCTGGGCTGGGTGACAGGGACCTGTATCCTGTCTTCTTTTGTTCATTCCTATAAGCATTTATTGAATAGTGAGTTACAGGCATTGAGCGAAATGCAAGGGGATGCAGGTGAACCAGACACACACAGTATCTACTTTCATAGCGGCTGCATACTCGAGGAATTTTCTCCCGGCTCTATAACCTTTTGAGACCCTGTGCAAGTCATTTAATAGTTAAGAGGATGTTTTTAAATGGAGACTGACAACTAACAAGATGATGAAGCTCCCAGAGTAAAGGATAGGAGGAAAGTGCTGGTGGTTAGATTACTGGCCTAAGATGAAGAGAGGAGGTTGTGCCCAGGCTGTGTAGGCTTGGTGGTGATAATTCTGACAGATGAGGTCTAGGAAGCTCTGTGAGGCGTGAGACATTTAAAGTAGGCCTTGAAGAATTGGTAGAATTTTGACAGGTAGGGAAAGGGGTAAGGGCACTCTAGAAAGAGGCTACTTCCTGGGCAGAGGCCAAGGATTGGTCTTACACTACCAGGTACCTTTCAGGGAAGATAAATAGCATTTGGGGGTTGATGCTGAGGAAGCATTTTAATATAAGATGGGCAGAGTAGGTTGGTATTAATTGTAAAGGACTTTAAGTGCCAGGCTGAGAGATTTTGTTTTGTAGGTGGTGGGAGTCACTGGTTTTGAGTAGGCAGTGCTGTGGTCAGAGCTGTGGAGGATGAATTGGAGAGAGAGGAGTTGGGAGACTATTGCCACAGCCAAGGCAAGCGATAGAGACCCCGAACCACGATGGGAAGGGTGGGCAAATGTGAGAAAGAGCATAGGCTCAGGCTGTACAGCTCCTAGGGAGACTTGCTCGGGCTTCTTGGGAGGAGTACACTGAAGGAGAGATGGACATTTAGCACCTGGAACCTAGAACAGGGAACTCCAGAGAAGCTGGTGTTTTGCTTTGGCCAAACCCTAAATCCAGACCAGTCCTATTTCAGAGTTACTGATCCTGACCCCTGGTGACCAACTCAAGATTCAGAAAGACCGGCAGGGCCAGCTGCCCCAGATGTGGCTATGGAATACAATGGCACTCTGCTTTGGAGTATCACAGCGATTTCTGGTTCTGATATTTGCTGAGTGGGCAAATCTTTTAATTGACCAGAGCTTCAGTCTCTTCCACTTATAACACTGGCAAACCCTCACTCTGTTGAGGAAATTAAATAATAGACACTGAAGCTGGAAACTGTCAAGCCCTGTCCAGGCCCAAGTTACCTGGAGGCTTTCTTAGGAAGAGGGCTGGTAGGAGTCTAGTTAATGTGGGAGTGGGTTGACTGTGGCTTAGAGAATACTTTCACACTTTTTTAAAAAACCTAACTCTATCCTTCCCCTGCCTGCAGCACCCTTATCACATGTGTGGATTCTGGGATTCTCCGAGTCTGGCGTGACAATGACAAGGAGACATCCTCTGACCCAGTGAGGCTCCCCTGCCCTGATCCTGATGGTTGGGGAAGGCGGGAGCCAGGGTAGGAGTTGAACGAGAGCTTTGGGGGAGGAGGGTTAGGAACTCTGGAACCTGACTCTCATTTCCCCTCTCATTCTCATTCTTTTTAGCTCCTGGAACTGAGGGTGGGTCCTGGGGTGTGTAGGATGCGCCAAGACCCAGTGCACCCCCATGTAGTTGCCACAGGTGGGAAGGAGAATGCTTTGAAGGTGTGGGACCTGCAGGGCTCTGAGGAGCCTGTGTTCAGAGCCAAGAACGTGAGTCACAGGGGTAGGGAGGGTCTGGGTCTGAGGTCCCCGGAGGCTGGGGGCCACTGACCATGAGTTAGAGACCAGGTGGGCTTTAGGGGATGATGACAGAGGGCTGAAGGAAAGAGCACACTGAGCTCCCCACAACCTTGTCTCCCATTTACCTGCCCTACCAGGTACGGAATGACTGGCTGGACCTGCGAGTTCCCATCTGGGACCAGGACATACAGTTCCTCCCTGAGTCACAGAAACTTGTCACCTGTACAGGGTACCACCAGGTAAAGCACCACCCACCCCTACCTCCTATGGGCTTAAGTAGCCTCCTAGAGAAACAACCTCCTTGCATAGGCTCTGCCCCCATCCTTTGTCACCGCCACTCCTCTCACCAACCTTCTTCCATCCCTGAGCTCTCAGAGGAGGGAGCACTCCCTTTTCCATTGCAGCCTCATAACCCTCTCTTACTGTATTCTAGGATGGAGTTTCCTGAACTATGACTCTTCTTTTTCCTCCTATCTAGAAGAGGGAAGAGGAGGAGAGAGTATTTCTTTCACAGTAGATTTAGAGGGTGCAGGTGTCCTAAGAGAACATTGGGCTGCAGGCCAAAAGAACTGGGTTTTCTGGTCCTGATGCAGCCCTCTGATTTGCTGCAGGACCCAGGCTTTACTCTTTCCTCTCTGGCCTCAGCTCCTCATCTCCTCAGCTCTATAAGAAGGGCCCACCTGGGATCTTTATAGCCCTGACCCAGGCAGAACTGGGTTACTGTATTTGCTGTTTCCTTTGCTCCTGCATATTGAAGTCTGATCTTGGGGATATGCTTCTGCTTAAAACACACATGGGGGCTTCCTCTCCTCTCCCTTGCTCAGGCTAAACCTCTGCTTAAAATTCAGCATCCTCTGACAATTTAACTGACTTGCTTTTCCATCGCAAGATGAGAGTATGGAGGGATGTAATGGTTTCACATGCAGACCATGGGAATGCTGCCACTTCCCAACCTGGGGGACTGCTCCCTTCAGCCATGCCCATTTATGCTGCTAAGCAGCTCTCCCCCAACCCCCAATACTGAGAGAAGACGGGTACATTTCAAATGAGAAAGTTTCTCTAAGAGTAGGTCATAAACAGGAAAGAAGTGTATGAAGGAGGGAGTGAAGATGTGGGGAAGCCATGGGGTGTACGTGGGGCAAGGATATCCTTGTGATACTTAAGTTTTCCTCCAGGTCCGTGTCTATGATCCAGCCTCCCCCCAGCGCCGGCCAGTACTAGAGACCACCTATGGAGAGTACCCACTGACAGCTATGACTCTCACTCCGGGGGGCAAGTGAGTGTTTAGAGGGCAAAGAGTGGGGTCAGGAAGGACTCCAGGAAGCTCCTGCTGACCTCACATGCCTCTGGTCTCCTCCTCAGTTCGGTGATTGTGGGGAACACTCATGGGCAGCTGGCAGAAATTGACCTTCGGCAAGGTAGTGGACTGGGGAGCCCTGGGGGAAGAGAAGGGCAGGATTCCTTCTGAGGCAGCACAGTGGAGCTGTTGAAGCCTCTTTTAGTTGTCAGTTTGGGTTCATATTCTGGTTTCAAAAGCTATATGGCCTTGGACAAATTACGTCAACTCCCTGTGCCTTAGTTCCTTCACCCGTAAAATGGAGATATAATGGTAACCCCTATCTGAGGATTAAATATTGAAATGAAAAGTGATTTGAACAGTAAACACTCAGTACTGGCTGTTGGCAATGCCTCCTCCTTTCCCTAGGGCGTCTACTGGGCTGTCTGAAGGGGCTGGCCGGCAGTGTCCGAGGGTTGCAGTGCCACCCTTCAAAGCCTCTACTAGCTTCCTGTGGCTTGGACAGAATCTTGAGGGTACATAGGATCCGGAATCCACGGGGCCTGGAGCATAAGGTGAGAGCCTGTTGTCTCCTGTGCCCCCCGTTCATGTTTCTGTATATTTCACTGTGTTTGGCTCCTTAAGACCCCTCATCTCTTGCAGGTTTATCTCAAGTCTCAACTGAACTGCCTTCTTCTGTCAGGCAGGGATAACTGGGAGGTAAGCAGTTGGGTCTGGGAAGGTGGGAACCAAGGGCATAGATATGAGAATTTATTTCCATGTGGGGAGAAAAAGGAAGCAACTGGAACACAGACTTGGCACTGTCCATCTCCCCGCCACATTACTTAATTTTTGTGAGGAGTGTTAATAGTTATAGTCCTGACAGAGTTACTGCCAAGAGTGACATAGGACCATGTATGGGAATTGTTTACCGGAGCAGGATGTAAAAGAAAAGTGGTGGTACCTGGAAAGATTATTTCCCAGTGAGCAACTCCTCTGTGGGTCTGTTACTGTGCTCCTGGCTCCTAAGCTTTTCTCCACTCACCAGGATGAGCCGCAAGAGCCTCAAGAGCCCAATAAGTCGTCCCCAGAAGACACAGAGGTAGATGAACTTTGGGCCTCTTTGGAGGCAGCTGCCAAGCGGAAGCTCCCGGATTTGGAGCAGACCCCAGGGGCTTTCCAAACCAGACGGAGAAAGAAGAAGCGGCCTGGCTCTACCAGCCCCTGAAGGGCCTGAGCTCACTTTGTAAATAAACAGCTGACACCCATCACGACCCTGAGCCTTTTGTGATGGGAGACACGAAAGGGGTGGCTGCTGTCTGAGCTGGGGCGGCGGGATATCTGACGTCACAAAAGCCTGGTGGGAGCCCGGTGGGCTGGAGTGGGTGGCACTGAGTGCCGGGCCACGCGGGCCATGGGCTGCTGCCAAGACAAGGACTTGAACACCACCAGTGTACAGGTCAAGGAGGCCGTGTCGGAGGAAGTCCAGGAAGGTGGGAACAGAAACACAGCCGGGGTGCCCAGGGAATGGGAGAGGGAAAGAGCCGATGAGGTTGGGGGGGAGGGGGGAGGGGGGAGCGGAGTTCAGCGGCCGCATCATCCTGGCAGACACCGAAGAGGTCGATGTGGACTCGCCAGACCGCCGGAATCGCAAGTCTACCGAAAGCCTCTTGATCACAGTGCTGTGGCGGCGGCTATCCTTGTTCAGCCGTCGGGGCTCGAGGTCAGCCAAGAGGCAATCTGTCCATAAACATGGGTGTACGTTCCAGGAGAACAGCCCGGATGAAATCATGGAGGAGCCAGAGAAGGGATGACCCCAGCCCTGCTCTCAGTCCTCCCCAGCCTCCAGAGAATAAAGTTTCTAACGTGTACTAGCCGGAGCGCTTGTACTTCTGCCCCTCGGCCCGCACCACCCGGGCCGCGGTCTCTTTAAGGCTCCTCCCCAGAGGCTGGCCCAGCCGGCTGGGCCCGGGCTCTAGCTCCTAGGGGGCGGGGTCACGGCAGCGTCCTAGCCAATGGAAGAGCGGAGTCGTTCCCGTATTTGGGTGAGGGGGCGTGTCCCTCGGGTTGCCGGGCTCCAAAAGGCGTGGCACCGCCCTTAGCCACCGGGGGTGGGGTTACGTGTGGGTGACGTGGCGGCTTCTAGTCTTTAGTCCGGTTTCGGAGGCTTCCGCGCCCGGGGAGTAGGCGGTGACGACCCAGAAGATTGTGGCGGTGGCGGCGGCGGCAGGCGGCGGAGAGGAGGTAAGACTTGCTCTGAGAGTGGTCTGGCCGCCGTGTCAGCTTGGGGCAGCGGCTTTCCGGGAGCGACGACGGGCGGGGGGAAGGGAACCAGGGGCAAGCGAACAAGTCCTGCTGGCCCGGCTCGCGGTGAACGAATACCTCGGTGTCCAATCAGGAAAGCCTCTAGTGAGAAAGACGTCGGCATTAGCTAATCAGTAGTTGCAGTCCCATGGAAGGCGGGGCTTGAGAGGGGGTGGGACTTCCTGTTTCAAATAAACACCCAGAGGTATCCCCCCCCCCTCCGCCCACCGAAGTGTGTCCCCCCTCGGAAGGTCCGTTACCATTTCTCCCTGAGGAGTGGAAGGAAGCCGTGGATCCAGGAGGGCCCAGTTGGGGCCTGGGGCAGTTGCACAGGCCAGGCTGGAGCTTCGGGGCCACGGGACCTGCCTTTGGCCCTGTCTCTGCTTCAGGGCCCCCGACCCGCGCGCTCTGGCTGCCCGAGCCAAGTTAGAAGAGTGAGGAGAGGAACGGCTTAGGCCGGAGAGGGAGTGGGGCCCTGCCCGCTGCTGGCCGGCCCCAGGATCTGCGGGTGGCTTTGGGGCCCAAGAATTCGCTGGTTGGGGGGAATCTGTGGGGAAGAGGCCTGGAGAATGACACTCTCCCCTCCACAACAGTCCGAGGTTATGCGTCTCAATGATCCCGCGGAAACGCTACGGGTCTAAGAACACGGATCAGGGTGTCTACCTGGGTCTCTCAAAGACACAGGTCCTGTCCCCTGCAACTGCTGGCAGCAGCAGCAGCGACATCGCCCCTCTGCCCCCCCCAGTGGCCCTGGTCCCTCCCCCTCCCGACACCATGTCCTGCCGGGATCGGACCCAGGAGTTCCTGTCTGCCTGCAAATCCCTGCAGAGCCGTCAGGTAAGGACCAGGAGTGGGAAAGGCAGGGGCGGGCGTTACTCAGATCTGGGAGAGGCTGTGTTCCAGCACTGTTGATTGAAGTAATTCTTGTGGGGAACCTGATCAGTTCTCGATCAGGCTTGGAGGGGGCGGTAGGATCTATTAAGAGATGAGCTAGCTACCTAGAAGCAAACTTTTTTTGGGCGAGGAGCCTGGAGGGTAGGGTTGCTGCTATTCCTGAAGGAATATGTCAGGGTAAGAGGTGACGGTGATATATTTGGTTTGGGTAAGGAACAGGTTCTGGAAAGAGACTTTAGCCCATAGACAACCACTTTAAATTTTAGTTCTGATATAGTTCTACCCAAGCTTGCTCTGTGACCACAGGGAAGTTAGCTGGGCCTCAGTTTTTATAACTTTGTAAAATGAAGGAAGTTTTCTAGATAATTAATTTTTATCAAAATCAATTTGGAATACTTTTTTAAAAACTGCATTCCCTTGTCTTGACCCAGACTTGAACCTTAGTGAGGCCTGAGTGACTGTAATTTCAAATATTTCTACTGCTCAGCACTTGTTAACAACTGCTCTTCTATACGATCTCCAAGAGCTTTCCAGTTATCCTCTTTGATTCCCTGATTGGAAAAATAGAATACAAGCTATTTATTTAGCCTTTTACAGTGTACCAGCTATTTGGCTGAAATACTTTATAACCTTTATGTCATCTAATCTTAGCAACAACAATAAGGAGGTGTGTGGATTGTCTTCATTTTATAGAAGAGTAAATAGAGATTCAGAATGGTTTAAATAACTTGCCCTATACACCCCAGCTACTAAGTGATAGAATCAAGATTTGAACCCAGGTCTACTTGTCTTCAAACCTGTGCTCTAAACTGCTACTACTACTACTGCTGCTACTACTAGTAAAATTAGAGCCTCTGATGGGGAACACCATCAGTACTAAAAAGAGAGTTTAGTGGGCACTTGAGAACAGTGAAAGCTGGTAATGAGGGGGGAACTAGAGTTTCACCTCTTTCAACATTGCTTTTCAGAATGGAATACAGGCAAATAAACCTGCTCTTCGTGCTGTTCGGCAGCGCAGTGAATTCACCCTCATGGCCAAGTGAGTTGAGAGAAGTTATGTGGTGGGCTGATACAGTGTCTGAGGAGAAGTAGGCTTGCCTTTGGTGGCCTTGGCTGTGATGGCTGGAATGGATTTTGCTGGAGCTAATGTGGGAATAGGCTGTCTCCTGCTCTTTCCCACAGTGTTCTCACTAATGCTTGCTTGCAGGCACATTGGGAAGGACCTCAGCAACACATTTGCCAAGCTGGAGAAGCTGACAATCTGTGAGTGTTCTTGGGGTGTTTCAGAAATGGGTCCGTGAACCAAAGAGGGTGGAGGAACTGTTCTCCCTGAGCCTTGTCTTTGATGTAACCCGTCATGGCTTCTTGTTTATCTCTGCAGTGGCAAAGCGCAAGTCCCTCTTTGATGACAAAGCAGTGGAAATTGAGGAGCTAACTTATATCATCAAACAGGTGAGCTACTAGCTATCAAGAGAGCCCAGATTTCCAGTCAGATCACTTTCATCATTTTCCATTCCCATGGAGGCCCAGAGCAAGTTTCTGGAGTCAGCCCCAAATATCTTGCTCATCTATTGAGACATTAGATATTGATTGATCAGCTGTGTACAAAGCACTGTGCCGAGCACTTGTCTCACAAACATGAGGCAAGATTTTGCCTTCAAGAGTTCATTGTCTAGAAGAGGTATCCAGCCCCGTAACATGAGTAGGAGGTGAATGTACAGAAAAGATATTACAAAAAGATGAATGAGCCCTGGCTGGTTTGGCTCAGTGGTTAGAGCATTGGCCAGTGGACTGAAGGGTCTCAGGTTCAATTCCAGTCAGGGACACCTACCTCTGTTGCAGGCTTGATGCCTGTCCCCGGTCGGGGTGCATGCAGGAGGCAACCATCGATGTGTCTCTCACATCAGTGTTTCTCCTCTCCCACTCTCTCTCTAAAAAATCAATGAAAAAAATATCCTTGAGTGGGATTAACAACAAAAAGCCTGGCCGGTATGGCTCAGTGGTTGAGCTCGACCCATGAGCCTGGAGGTCATGGTTCAATTCTAGTCGGCATGTGCACGGGTTGTGGGCTCAATCCCCACTGGGGGACATGCAGGGGCAGCCAATCGATGTTTCTGTCTCATCATTGATGTTTCTAGCTCTCCCTCTCCCTTCCTCTCTCTGAAATCAATCAATCAATCAAAAAATTTTTTAAAAAAAGATGAATGAGATAGTCCAGAACACTGGGAAAGATTTTTTAGAGGAGGTCAAATCTGAGCTGGTTTCAAGGCTTGTAGAGAGCCCTTGCGGAACAGGAACATTCCAGACAGAGAAAACAGTCCGTGCAGAGGTATGACTTCTAAAAGGGAAAGCTCAAGTCTTTGCTCAGATGTCAGCTGCTCATGGAGACCTAACCTGACTGTACTGTTTAATAAATCCAGACACCAAAACTGACCTCCCTTAACTTGCTCTGTTGTTTGTGGTTTTAAAAAATTTTTTTATTGCCCAGCTGGTGTTGCTCAGTGGTTGAGCATCGACCCAGGAACCAAGAGGTCAACCGGTTTGATTCCTGGCCAGGGCACATGCCCAGGTTTCAGGCTCATCCCCAGTTGGGGATGTGCAGGAGGCAGCCAATCAGGGACTCTCTCATCATT